GCAACTTCTTACTAGACATGTCACTGGAGGCAAGGGAAACAAAAGCAAACATGAACTATCGGGACTTCATCAAGATTAAAAGCTTCTGCACAGTGAAGGAAAACTATCAACAAAACTAAAAGGCAGCCTACGGAATGGGAGATGATATTTGTAAATGACAAATCTGATAAAGGGTTAGTATTCAAAATCTATAAAGAAATTATCAAACTCAACACCCCAAAATAAATAATCCAGTTAAGAAATGGGCAGAAGACATGAATAGACATTTTTCCAAAGAAGACACACAGATGGCCAATAGACACATGAAATGATGCTCAACATCACTCATCACCAGGGAAATGCAAATCAAAACTATAATGAGTGGGGTGCCTAGGTGGCTCAGTCAGTTAAGTACCTGACTTCAACTCAGGTCATCATCTCATGGTTCACGAGTTTAAGCCCTGCATCAGGCTCTGTGCTGTCAGCACAGATCCTGGAGCCTGTTTTGGATTCTGTGTCTCCCTCTCTCTCTGTCCCTACCCCACTCGTGCTGTTCCTCTCTCTCTCTCAAAACTAAATAAATATTAAAAAAAAAAAAAAAAAAACTACAATGAGATATCACTTCACACCTGTCAGAATGGCTAAAAATAACAATACACAAAACAGCAAATGTTGGCAAGGATGTGGAGAGAGGGGAACCCTCTTAGATTGTTGATGGGAATGCAAACTGGTGCAGCCACTCTGGAAAACAGTATGGAAGTTCCTCAAAAAGTTAAAAATAGAACTACCCTACAACCCAGCAATTGCACTAATAGGTATTTACCCAGAGGATACAAAAATACAGACTTGAAGTGGCACATGCACCCTATGTTTATAGCAGCACTATGGACAATAGCTAAATTATGGAAAGAGCCCAAATGTCCATCAACTGATGAATGGATAAAGAAGATGTAGTATATACACACAATGGAATATTATTCAGCCATCAAAAGAATGAAATCTTGTCATTTCCAACAACAGGGGTGGAGCGAAATATCCTATGTATTAACTAACTAGAATTTAAATTAAAAACTTGAAAATAAATAAAATCAGTTAAGTGTTTTTTAAAAATCTTGAAACTGGGGCACCTGGGTGGCTCAGTCGGTTAAGTGTCCGACTTCGGCTCAGGTCATGATCTCATGGTTTGTGAGTTCGAGCCCCATGTCATGCTCTGTGCTGATAGCTCGGAGCCTGAAGCCTTCTTTGGATTCTGTGTCTCCCTCTCTCTGTGCCCCTCCCCCACTCATGCTCTGTCTCTCTCTCAATAATAAATAAACATTAAAAAAAATTTTTTTTAAATCTTGAAACCAAAAAAATAATAAAATTGGAAAAATATTTTAAAAATAAATAAAAAATAAATAAATGAAAAACCAAAAGCTATTCATTTTTTTAAAGGGGTAAATTCCTTTGTAGCAATGGCATAAAGGAAACCACAGTAAAGCGTATCATTTACAAGTCAAAAGAGAACAGATAAATTTGCACAGATAATTCTTTAAATAAAAAGGAAATTCACAAGGTAAATGACAAACTTGGTGTAGGAAAGATAGTTTGATTCCCTCATATAAAGTATCTAGAAGTTAATAAGAATAAAGTTCAAACATGATAGAAAAATGGGCAAAAGATACCAAACAGCAGTTCATTTCAACGAACAGTACGTAACTGCAAGAGTACAGGAGGGAGAAACTCTTGCCAGACACTGGGTATTTCAAACTGATGGTTTTAGCACATAAAAGTAGGATGACAGAATGAAAGGCGTTTTTTCCCTCATGGTTATTTGGAAGGTGCAGCTATGATATGGCACACGATTTAACACAGTCCTTCAACATTCTGAATATCACTACTGAAAATTTTTGTAAAATACTATATTTCACAAGTCATTTTTCTTACATTTTAAATTAAAATGAGGACATTACCTCTTTACAATTCTTCTTTCTTGAAATTTATTTTTCCCTCAGTTTCTTCTTCCCATAAGTGTTGGTCTTGTGTAGAATGCTCCCTGGATAACTTGTATGTTGACAACACCTAGACCTGTACTCCCCAAGGGCTCAAATCCCCACAGCTGCCTACTCTAGACTCAGGTCTGATGGGCATTCCCTTGTTAAAGTAGATTCCTCTTCCCCTGTAAACCTGTCCTTCCTTGCCTACTTCAGATGTTGATCAGAAAGGATTTGGGATAGAGTGAGATTGGAAAGACAGAAAAGAAGAGATTAGGGATTAACTAGAGTTTGTAGTTTTATGATTGTAAGCAAATTAACTTTTACTAAATCCAGTTAATTTCACCTCCTAAGCATTAAAAAGAAAATCCCCTCTTTGCTATCTTTATTTTATCTCCCTAGATTACATAATGGACACACAATGGTTTCTATGTGTGCTTGGACTTCACAAATCTGTCTCACACCCACCAGAAAAAGCTTTCAAGTACTATTCTGATCATATCACTTATCTGCCTAAAATCCTCTGTTGAGCAATCAAGTGTTGAGGTGGTCAGTTAGGACAGTGAGCCAAACTTAACAATCAAGCCTTTATTCACCTACTGTGATAGCAAGAGCCAGAGGCCAAAAGAGAGGCACCAGCTCCACAGTGTTCCATTCCTTGCCCCACTGACCATGGGTTGGCATTAGGCCAGAGTCATATGGGTGTAGTTCAGGTGCAGGGAGGCATTGAATTCCCAGGGGCCCCAAACAAATGGCTCCTGACTCTTTATGGACTCTGGGGCTCAGGAGAAAGAAAGGGGGAGGAGCCAGAAGTGGAATGGTACTAAGTGGAGAAACGTGTCTCAACCAAAGACCCTTGATAAGGTCTTAGTGGAAGCACCTAGGAGGTGCCTCAGCCAAGGTCCCTGATAATGAGGCCTTGGGCTAAAAATACAGGTGTACCCATGAGCATGTCTGGCCTCAGGGACTGGAACTGGTGAGGTGCTTGATAGTTAGACCTTAACTTTCTCTAGAAAACTGCAATGCAGTGGGCATGCACCAAGTCTGGTGTGGGCAGGACACCTTCCCCCATGAGGCCTACCAGACAAAGCCTGTAAATGCCTGTTGTCAGGCCTGATAGATGACACAAAGATTCTGGCCTGGAGCTGAACTCCTAACTCTTCAGTGGCTACCCCAAAAGCCACAACTTCTTTACATGGTAAACACATATCTCTTCATCTGACCCCATACCTACTTTTCTGCTCTCATGTCCTGCTTCACATTTCATACTCCAGTAAAAACTGCCCCCTCCAAACTATTCTAACCTCTATGCATTTGCTCACAGTGTCCCCTGATCTCCCCACCTTCTGTTTCTTCACCAAGCAAACCCTCACTTATCCTTTAAGAGTCATCCCAAGTGCTACATCCATCAGGAAGCCTTCTTAACAAATATCCACCCTCCTTCTAGACACAAGTAACCATTCTCTATGCTGTGGATCCTTAAGCCTTATGCATCAAACTTCTATTTTACTTACTACATAATATTTTCTGTTTATGTATCTAACAAAACACTAAATTCCTAGAGAACAGAAGTCATATATTTTTCTATTATGTATCCCCAATGCCTACTGAGTATCAGGTACATAGCAGAAACATGGGGAATCATCTATTTGTGGAATTAGTATTCTATGAATCAGCATTAGCACAGCACTAGGAATAGGACACTACTACAGCAGGATTGAATGACACAAGCCCCATGGGGTAACCAGTTCCCAGCATCGACAGCCTCTCCACACTAAGGCCCAATTGTTTTAAAACCACTTTGTCAGCAGGTTGTCCAACATGGGCCTGCTGCTCCAGGATTTGCTATCAAACTTGTCAAAGACAATCTTAAATCTTAGTATTGCCTCCCTAACCCTCAAAGAATCTTCTTTCTCTGTCTCTTCACCCTCTCATATCTGGGTCAAAGATTGTCATCAGGCATCCACTGTAAAAATGGCAGAAACTAGGGAGCTTCTTGAGAACAAGCATCATATCTATTAAAACTAGGACTTTGCTAAGCTTTTTATGACCCCCACCCTGAAGACACCTTTCTCTAGGGGGGGGACGTCTCTGCACAGCCTAGCAGCTCTTTGGAATTCCTCTTCAAAAGGCCATTGTTCACCCTCTACAACTGGCTTCTTGGTCTACAGGCCTTAGACTCCATGGTTATCAACGAGTTCTAAGAACTTTTCATTAATATATAATTAGTACTGGAACATTTAAAAGTATCCATTTGCAAAGTGATAACCACAACCTTCCACCTTTATGTTTTGTGTCTTGTCGTTTAACTTTCATCCAATTTTTACGGGAATCCAGTCAGAGAGAAGAAAGAGGGAAGCCAAGCAGAAAACAAACACACTCAGTGTCAGCAAAGGTCTTAGTGGCCAAGAGTCCAAGCGCAACATTAAACTGGAAAAGTCCACGTTAACTTGTGTCCCTAATGAAGTTGTAGTTTCCAGCTGTGTCACCAAAGAGAGTATCAGACTTCATTCAGGAGGAGACTGCACAAATGGACTCCACATAGGCCTAAACCCCAGGTCTAAAGACTCCATGCCATAGAAGTTAAATTTAGATTCACTCTCTCTCTCAGTAAACACTACAATGTGTGTTGAGACTATCTGCACAGTTTCTGTACCTACTGACCAGGCACAGAGCTACAGACTCCAGAAAAATCAGGCTGGGGTCAGAAGCATGCCAGACATTTTAAAACTCCTAGTGAGAACAGCAAAGACAAACTTCTTACCTGGTAAAATCCTTACTTCACAGGTACATTCAAAAGCAAAAGCAATACTATGACCATGTGGTCCTGCTGTGCCCTCTCCTACTTTTATACAAAGATGTATCTGTATCCTTTGCCAGTCAAGAAATTTTAGATCTTCTATGTAGGAAGACAGACCAGTAATTTGTGTGAAATTAATGCCTATGAATATAATGTTAAAACCCTAAAATATTTTAATGGGTTGTGGTTTTCTAAAATGAAATCAAGAGATTGTTAACAATAAGTGAATGAGTACCCCCTATACTTACAAGAGAACATGAGCAATGATGGCATTCACGTCAAACAAGGTATCAGTAGGGAATTCTCTCAGTAAGATGTTGCCCCTATAAAAAAATTTTAAAAAAGCATTACAGAAATATTTCCCCGGAACTCATTTTTCTTGTCTCTCTAATACAGTAGGTTGTAAGTTCTTTGATGTTAAGAGCCTGGGTGTTATCCATTATCCCATTCACCTATCAGCGTGCTGACAGTAAAATATGCACAAATATTTATTGAATATACGTTCAATAAATATGTTGACTTGGAAGAGTGTAGGCCCAGAACTTGGCAAAAAAAAACTAGGAAAACACATGAGTCTCAACACAGCTTCCTACCAACCTCCTTGTCACATACACACAGATTCCCTAAATGGGCTGGGAAGGAGACAAATAGGAGAGACAAACAAGTGTCCTCAGCAATTGGTCTGAGGAGACAGTATCTGTCCTCACTTCTTAGGCCAAATCCCAAGAGTTTGACAAAAAGATTTTGAGAAACGTCAGAGAGACTAGCAGACCAAAGTGGAGAGGAATCTGTAACTGGGACATTGGCAGATGTCTCAAAAATACCTTTCTTTCACACCCAAATATGGACCTGAGAGATCTACTCAAAACACTAACTTTGTTAAATGCTTACTTTCCAGGCACTTATAGTAGTAGTTTACATAAGAATTCTCATGTAATATTCAAAACAGTCTCTGAGGTAGCTGTTATACCTATTTTAACTAATTTTATAGCTAAAGAAGCTAAAGTTCAGATAACAAATCTAGGACTTAGACCATTTGCTAAACTTCATATAATCCCCCATGCATACAACTTTATCCTGGCTTAGTGATATTTTATATATTTTAATATTCTAGAAGTATAGCTTTAATTTGGCTATCACACTCAAAAACAGTTTACCTGAATAAATACACTTTCATCAAATCCTTTTCTTTTCCACAGTATCTTGATGTTTCTTCTTTGACACAATTAACCTTTAAAAGATTATATTTAAGGTTTAGAGTATATATCAAAAGGTCAAGTTTCTTGGTTATGGAAACAAGAAGGAAAATTAAACAGTAAAATCTGTCTCCAGGTCAAATTAAAAGAAATTTTTTTTAATGTTTATTTTTGAGAGAGAGCGAGAGCAAGTACGAGTGGGGGAGGGGCAGAGAGAGCGGGAGACAGACTCTGAAGGAAGCTCCAGACTCTGAGTTGTCAGCACAGAGTCCAATGCAGGGCTTGAACTTGTGAACTGTGCGATCATGGCCTGAGCCGAAGTCAGACGCTTAACCAATTGAGCCACCCAGGATCCCCTCACATTTTTTATTTTACTTTTCTTTCTGATTTGTATCCTATAATTGCTCATTTATTCAAGTGGGTTACCTCAGAGAAAGAAAGTGTTTCTATACCTAAGAGTTATATTTAATTATACTTAAGAGTTTAAATTTAATTCAATCTTATGGAACAAGTACGAGGTAACCAGGTAGAAAAGGAAAGAAACCATTTAGGCAGGACAAAAAATCATGAGCGAAAGCCAAGAAGCAGAAGTAAGTGGTAAGTTGAGAGCATGAAAGCATCTCAGCAGCTGGAACACAGGTACGGCAGATACTGCTGGTTTCTATTTTTTTTTCTTTCTTTTTAAACATTTGTTTATTTTGAGAGAGAGAGAGAGAGAGAGAGAGAGAGAGAGGGAGAGGCAGAGAGAGACAGGGAGAGAGAGACAATCCCAAGCAGACCCCGCACTGTCAGTGTAGAGCCCAACATGGGGCTCAATCTCATGAACCACAAGATCTTGACCTGAGCTGAAATCAAGAGTCAAATGCTTAACTGACTCAGCCACCCAGATGCCCCACTGCTGGTTTCTTATCCAAAATCCATCCTTCCCTTTTGTTTTATTAACAGAACTTCCCTAAACACAAATGCCCCCAGTGAAAGACTTTTCCAGGTTCCCCAACAACTATAGATGGCCAAACAATGTTAGGGAGAAGTTACTGGGGTCGGATCAAAGAAGGTTCTTAAAGAAGAGCTGACTTACACTTTTCCTACTTCTTCCTGACAAAAAACAGACAAGACCGTGCCAGCAGTAATTACGGACCATGAAGCATCTTTAAAGGATAAACCCTTGCTGAGGATGATGCAACAGAAACAGCAACGTGAAGATGTAATGGAAGGCAAGGAAACACAAAGATAAGCAGGAAAGTCAGACGAGTATCACCTCAGTACAGGGCAAGGATGAATGAGATCTGAAGTAAAGCAGAAAAGGACAGAAGAGATTTGAGAGATTTCTCACCAATACAGTAAGTAAAACTAGGGAGAAGACTGAGCATGTGTATGCAGTAGGGAATAAAGGAAAAAAGGAGATAAAAAGAATGAAGAGGTTTCTAGATGGGGCAAAGGGTAGCCACCAACAAAATTTGCACTAAACTAAGGTTAGAAGAAAAACAGTCATTTCATTTTAGATTTTGTAAGTTTTGGTTTTGTTTTTTAAATGGGTTGGTTGTTTTGTATGTGTGTCATTCAATTTAATTTTAATGGAGTTTGAGGAAGCAGAATGACAACTAGGGAAGCTACATTTGTTTTCAAAAGCTACAAAAGGAGAACTGATACTCAGAAAAAATATCAGGAATAGAGAAATTAGAATTAAAAGTTGGAATACTGCCATAACCAAAAAGAGTGAATTTTAGCATATGTAACTTTTTAAAGAATTCTTTAGGGGTACCTGGGTGGCTCAATCAGTTGAGTGGCCAACTTCAGCTCAGGTCACGATCTCGTGGTATGTGAGTTCGAGCCCCACATTGGGCTCTCTGTTGTCAGCATAGAGTCCGCTTCAGATCCTCTGTCCACCCCACCCCGCCCCTTCCCCTGCTTGCATTCTCTCTCTCAAAAATAAACACTAAAAAAAATTTTTTTTAAGTCAGAGCATAGGGGATGGTTGACATTAGGACAATAGATTTTTTTTCCATTCAGCCGTTTAACATATATATGAACACCTACCATATGTTAGTCACTCTTCTAGTCGCTGGGGGCACAATTAAGTTCCAAATAAAGATTTTTATCTTTAGAACTTACATTTTAAAAGTAGAGACAGACAATTTTAAAAACTAATTAATATGTAGCATTAAGTCCCACAAATTAAAAAAACAGTAAAGGGATAGTATGTAACAGGACATTTTATACAGGTAATCAAGGAAGGCTTGGCGGGGGGAGGGGAGGTGACCTTTGCACAAAGAACTGAAGCAAAGTAGTGATGCATACTATTATATAAGTATGTTGAAAAGAGGAGTTCTGACAGAAAATACTTGCAAAGGCCTTGTAGAAATAATACATCAAGCAGGTTCAGGTAACAAAAAGAGGACTTGTAGGTGTCAGGAACAAACTGAGCAGGTTGGAGAGGCAGAAAAAGAAATGAGAGGAAGCCAGTGTGCATAAGAGTGAAGAGTTTCAAGTTTATCCTAACTGTAACAGGAAGCCTTTTGGAGGAGTAGCAATGAGACCTGACACATTTGACTTATGCATAGAGAAGAATTTAGTAGGACAAGAGTGAAAGGAGAAAGGCCAATTATTAGAAGGCTATGGTAGTTTCCCAGATGAGAAGTCATGAAGGTCTGGACAACAGGGGTCAAAGTGGAGGTGCAGGAAGTGCTATGATTTGGGAAGTTTTGATAGTAGAACCTAAAGGTTTATTGATGGGTTGGTTATGACAAAGTCAAATATGATTCAAAGGTTTTTTGTTTTAAAGTCTACTTTGATATAGTAAGATAACTATACCAGCCTCCTTTTGGTCATCACTTAATGATACATCTTTTTCCTTCCTTCAATACTTTGAAGATATCTGAAGACTGACTTTATTTTAAGATGCATTTCTAAATAGCATACATTTGGGTTTGGTTATTGCACCCAGCTTGGCAATCTTTGTCTTAACTGGAACATTTAGTACATTTATATTTTAGTGTTTTCTTCATCTACCTCTGCCTCCTGAAATCTTAACTTTTCAAGACAATCTCAAAATGCTACTTTTTGTAAAGTCTTTCCAAATACCATACATGACCTTCTGCCATGACAATCAGATATGAGCTTCCCTTCTTTAAACCTCAGTGGCATTTTATCTGTATCTCATATTACAACGATCATGTTCTGCTAGTTACTGAAGTGATTTGTGTTTAACTCCCCTATTTAGGATCTAAACTCTCCAAAGAAATAGACTGGGTCTTTATCACATATCTATCTAAAAAACTAAATGAAGCAGCTCACTTCAATGTCATAAACATTTACCAAATATTTATTATGTGCAGAGAGTGAGCTAGGTACTTAATATTTGTCTGCCTTATTCACCAGTCTTCTTTCCACACAGCTTAGCATCCTCAACTGTAAAATCAAGACTTTATGTTTTGTTAGTTCATAAAGGCAACAACACTCTAGGCATGAACTTTAATATTCTATTTTAGTTACCAGATATACAGTTACTAGTTACTAAATAAATAGTATGATTATCCCTTTTGAATGTCATACCAACTTAGTATTTCATCTCTAAACTTTAGTCTAGAATTTTATTAAAAGCTCCTCAAAGATGAGCACCATTATCATTCTAGAGTGTAATCAGCTGTTCAAAGTTAACCCAGTTACATACAGAATTAAGAAAAGACTTTTTTTTTAAGTGTTTAGCAGTGACATAGAAATATAGAATTGGTCTTTTCCCCTGGTTCCTCACACATTCCTAAAACCCTTGTTATTTCCTGAGTGACAGGAGGACTAGGAGTATCTTTTGTTCTAACACTTGGTCTTTAACGCCAGTTCCTTATAGAAGAGCTTCTAAGACCCTTGGAAACTCCTGGAGTATCTTTTTGCATGCTAAAACACTGATCACTGGGGGGCCCTAGATAGCTTCAAGATGGGGGCTGCTCACTACAAAGACAAAGGCATGATTAGAAGATTGAACTTTCTGCCCCATCTCCCATCCTCTGTGCTAGAGATGAAGCCAATCACCAGTGGCCAATGATTTACTCAATCGTGCCCACATAATGGAATCTCCATAAAACCCCTAAATAACAGGGCTTGAAAGCTTCCAGGCTGGTGAACACATCTAAGTAATGGGAAGGTGAAACACCCCATACTACAAGAGGACAGAAGCTCCTGTGCTCAAGGCTTCCAGACCTTGCCATATGCATCTCTTACATTTGGCTGTTCCTGAGTTCTATCACGTATAATAAACCAGTAATAGTACACAAAGTGTTTTCTTGAGTCCTGAGAGCCATTACAGCAAATTATTGAACAAGCAAGGAGGGGGTTTTGAGAGCTCCCAGTTTATAGCCAAGTCAGACAGAAGTTGTAGGCAACCTAAGAATCTACTCCCTATGATTGGCATCTGAAGTAGAGGGCAATCTTATAGGACTAAGCCCTTAACCTGTGAGATCTGGGTTACATGGGTGGTCAGTATGATAAATGACTGGTGTAGAAAACTCACACATTTGATGTCAGAAGTGTTCTGTGGATAGAGGGAAGAGTTTCCCTTTAATAGGCAAGGTTAGTTAACCTTTCTATGCTTCCTGCCCTGGGAACTCTAGCTGTAGGGACCAAGTGGGTCAGCAGCCATCTCTCAGAAGCAGAAGGCTAATGAACTAAGAAAGAATAAATGTACACAGAAAGTCAGGTAGACACTAATCTGACAGAATTTAATAATCACTGGGTTATTAATCATTCAATTTTCTGAGGTACAAATTCTAAGATTAAAGTAAATGAAAAGCTCATGTAGCTATCTAATCCATGATGCATGTGGAAATTTTCCATAATACTCCATGGCAAGTTTGAACATTTTTTGAGAAAAAAATTAAATACGTCATTTCAAGTTAGGCTGTTTTGACTTTGTCCTAAAAATAAAGGAAAAACTGCAACATAAGCAATTATAAAGACTTAGAAGAACAGAAAACAAAAAATACTTCAATTGCCTCAATTTTGATACTTCAGTTTGTGCTAATAGAAATTTAATAAATAGTTGAACGTGGAGATCTACTATATTTGTCAGGCAAAACAAAGCAAAAAAGCCTAAGTATAGCATTAAAAACTGAAACAGTTTATAAAACAAATTAAGTTCTAAGCTAACAAAAAATTCTGAACAGCTTTTTTCTTTATCTACATGTACTAATTTACACCATAATCTGGAAGTATCTTCTGTGCTTCTGTTTTTTCTTATGAAAAAAAGGTAGAAAAAAAATATTTTTCCAGTTTGGAAAAAGATCTGAAACGTAAGTATTTTTAGATACTCAGCATTAAGTCATATAATTATAAAATGTTTGTCACTAATAAGTTAGTAACAAAAAAATATCTTTCTACCTTTGCAACTGAAATTCCAAAGTCCTGGAGAGGTTTAACAGCCTCATTCAGTTCTTCAAGAAATATGGAAGTTCTTGGAGAATCTAAAATAAGAAATGTTTTATGAATGTTTTATGGCTTGCTCCTTAGGAAAGATGAATTTTTAAAATTAAGGCCCAAAGCTGCAAACTGAAAAAGAAATGGATTGGTTTGCCCAACAAGTATATACAATACAACCAATAATCAAGTAAACATACCTGGTTATATAATTTTATACCCTTACTTCTTATTGCCTCATTATTCTTATTTCTAATGTTTTTATGATGATTTTAATTTTGTAAGTGAATTTTTAAAATTTCTAAAATAAGAATAAATAAATGTTTAATTCAAAGCTAACATTCGGCATTATTTTTCCAAGTTTCCATATACGCAACACACATGTATACATGCACAAAATTTTTGAAATGATTTTAAAATGCCATTTTCAAATCACAATTATAAGAACCAACAGAAACGTGGATTAATTTCACTTACTAATTCCAGGAATAGTATTTTTTAAGGCATAAAGACTTAAATGAGACCATTACATTTTTAGTTATGTTCAATACTTACATTGGTTAATCAGTGTAATTAATGGTATACTAAAGCAGAGTATTAAATAAAAGCATTACTAATTCTTCACTTAAAGTTTTAAAATACTTTAAACATATCCACTTGCTAAAAATATCAAGAAGTATACTTTCAGAAATGACTAGATGAGGGGCGCCTGGGTGGCTCAGTTGGTTAGGCATCGGACTTCAGCTTAGGTCATGATCTTGCAGTTCATGGGTTTGAGCCCCACAACAGGCTCTGTGCTGATAGCTCAGAGCCTGGACCCTGCTTCAGATTCTGTGTCTCCCTCTCTCTCTCTGCTCTGCCCCTCCCCCACTCACATTCTGTCTGTCTCTCTCTCTCTCAAAAATAAATAAACGTTATAAAAAAAATTTTTTAAAGGACTGGATGAAATTCAGGTGTTACTCTACTAATAGCTAATTCTTATCTGGTATTTACTAAAGACTAAGTCACATGAATAAAGTCATTTAATCCTCACAACAAATTTATAAAGTATTATTTCCTCATTATGGATGACAACAAAAACACAGAGAGGCTAAGTGATTTAACCAAAATCACACAGAAGGTCAACTGGCACAATCATGATTTAAACTCAGGCATATATATTTTAGTAACAGCTTTATAGCACATAATACTAATTTTGACAGTATCCCAGCAATACTACTGATTAAACAGCAAGAGAAACATCACAAAAATCACGTCAGAATATAAAAAATACTTACCGGCTTGACAAAAATAAGCTAAGGAGGCTTTTCCCGGTTGCAATGTACTGAAGTATTTCTGTGGGCTCAGTTCTGATAGAGAGTCTACTGCTGACTTATAAAAAATGCACATCATGACAAAAGAGATGCCAACTCTATATATATTGAAACTGGAAGACATCATCAGCTGTAGTTGTACATGGGCAGGAGATTTTTGTCTGTTTTGTTCACTGCTGTGTTCTGTTGCCTAGGACAATACCTAGCAACGGTAGGTATTCAACAAAGTTTTGCTGAATAAATTTGTTAAACAAATGAATGAAGTAAAATCTGCAAGAAGAATAATGTAAGACATTACTTACGTATTTGATTTTGTTAATACTTTCCTATTTCCTTCTAGTAAACATTTGAGAGGGATATCTATAATGACATTGATTTGATAATACAATTGATTCTGGATACTTGCAAAAGATATCAAAGATATCCAGAAAATACAATATGAAATATCTTATGTTTAATAGATCTTTACTAGAGTATGTTAAGCTAATTGTCATTTTTAAGGGTTCTAAAACTAAGTCTCAAACCTTATCCAATCCTTGTTTTAAATTGGTCATTTTATCTTTCTCTACCCAAAGTGGATTTACAATGAATACTCAAACAGTTATTTCATACCATTACCATGGGAGTGAGGCATCCAAAACCTACATCTATTATGTTTACATTCTTTTTACTTTAAATTTCCTGGAAGATAGCTATTAAAACTATTTAAGGGGCACCTGGGTGGCTCAGTTGGTTGAGTGACCAACTTTGGCTCAGGTCACGATCCTGCAGTTCATGAGTTGGAACCCCACATGGGGCTAGCAGCTATCAGTACAGAGCCTGCTTAGAAACCTCTGTCTCCCTCTCTCTCTTCCCCTCCCCTGTTATGCATGCATGCATGTTCTCTCTCTCTCAAAAGTAAATAAAAATTAAAAAAAAAACTTGGAAACCAATTTGACAATAAATTTCATATTAAAAAAACTAATAACGTTCCTTCTAAATATAGTTTTAATTTTATTTGTTTATAATTTTTTAATGTTTATTTTAGAGAGAGAGAGAGAGCGCGCGCACGCACAAGTGGGAGAGGGGCAGAGAGAAAGAGAGCAAGAGAGACACAGAATCTAAAGCAGGCTTTAGGCTTGAGCCATCAGTACAGAGCCCAACACGGGGCTTGAACTCACCAACAGTGAGATCAGCTGAAGTCAGATGTTTAACTGACTGACCCACCCAGGTGCCCCATAAATACACTTTTTTAAGTATACGACTTAGACTTATACAGCTTAGACATTTAAGTATCTTTTTCAACCCAAGTTTTAATTCAACTCTACCTTCTGAACTCAGACTTGTTTTAATACTCTCCTCTCTTCTTCCATGCTGCACTTACTTCCATGCTGTCCTCTACATCTGTTGTCAATTCTTTGTCTCCCATTTTGCCACTTCCGAATTTCTCTCCAACAATTTCTTCTTTCAGGAAGTTTTCCACTGATGATCTATAATATCTAAGTTCTAAAAGAAGACAGTTTAGGAAAATATAATATAAAAATATCATACTTCCAGAAGGGAGAGACATACCCACAGGTATAGGTGAGATTTTTAATTTTTTTTAATTTCAAATAGAACCCCTACCTTTCAAACAAAAGATCACTATCTCAAAACAAGAGACAGAAAAAAATAGCAAAAAATTACTCAGAATGAGAGGAGTAGACTTTCTGTAAGAAATAAAATAATAAAAGAATGAAAATTTAGGGAAAATTGTACTAGATACTTAATCTGCTCTTTCAATACGATCAGTAAGCATATAATACCTCTCCTTTAAAAGCAGGTATTCCTAAAAAAGGAGCTAATTACTAATTACTTCTTAACATTCTTTTCATTAGAGCTAATTTATATCAGTGAACAAATTTGTCATCAATATTTAATAATGAGCCAAGAGTTCAAAAATTCAAGTAGAATGAGTGAGGACTGTGAGTGAGAGGCATATAAAAAAGTAATTTTAATGATATAATTAGGGAGTATCCTTGGCATTAACATTGATTACACATTTTAGCCATTTTAAACCAGTGTATTTTAAAGCCACTTTATATTAATGAGGATGGTTTAAAATAGGTCATTCAATATTTTCTTTATTGGGGGGAAGGGAAATGCATGCATCCTGAGGCTAAGGGAATAACTATATAATGTATTTACTATATGAAATAACCAAAACCTAATTAAAAATGAACCTTTTAAGTAAAAGTACATTTGAACGAGTCAAGTATAAATATAATTTTTCCTGGACTTGTGGTTATAATTCAGTTATTTTAACACTAAATTGGACAGTAGGGTTAACGCATTATTTTTTCCCCTAGAATGAATTTTGTAGCAGTAAAAGGTCTAACTGCACATTCAGTGCTAGAATACTTTCCCACATCTATCTCATTGGACAAATGAAATTATAGATGTTGAAGTACTACGCATTTGGTCAATTAGAGATGTTGGTGATTATTCTGACATACATATTTTCAGGGATAGGAATTCATTAGTAACTATAACCTTTGCAATTTTTCCATCTTTGATAAATTTGATTATTTAAGTAATTACTTAAAGCAGAGAATATTGCAGAGATCAACCAGAAATATAGTTTATGAGGTCTTAATAAAATAAACACTGAATAATGATTTAACCAAATCTATGACAACCACAGTTCAGAGGATGGGGAGAAAGAAAGTAAGGGAACATACAATTAGTGTGGGAAAAGAAATAAAAGAGCTAAATCTTCACTTTCACAAGACCAAAAGCCAAGTTTATTGGAAACAGGAAGATGAATGCCAAAAGAAATAGGGAACAATTGAAATAATTCCCCCTAAGGAATAAGAAATTGGAGGGGGAAGACACCAAGGGGACTTTTGAAGTCTTATATAAAACCATCTGACTCTTTAAATACCTTTTCATTTTGATTGAAAAGTTAAAGTCATTCTATTTGGACTATATCAAAATAAAAAGCTCTGCACAGCAAAGGAGACAGCTACCAAAACTAAAAGACAATCTACTGAATGGGAGAAGATTTGCAAATAACATATCCAAGAAAGGGTTAGTATCCAAAATATATATAAAGAACTTACATAATTCAACACCAAAAAAACCCAAAAAACAAAAACCAAAAAAAACCAACAAAACAAAACAAAAAAACAAAAAACCCCAAGTAATCCAATTTAAAAACGAGCAGAAGACATGAACAGACATTTCTCCAAAGATGATACACAGATGGCCAACAGACACATGAAAATACGCTCAACATCACTCATCGTCAGGCAAATGCAAATCAAAACCACAATGAGATGTCATCTCGAACCTGTCAGAATGGCTAAAATCAAAGCTCAAAAAACAACAACTATGGGCAAGGATGTGGAGAAAAAGGAACCCTCATGTACTGTTGGTGGGAATGCAAACTGGTGCAGCTACTGTGGAAGACAGTACGGAAGTTCCTCAAAAAATTTAAAATAGAACTACCCTATGATCCAGTAATTGCACTATTGGGTATTTACCCAAAGAATATGAAAACACTAATATAAAAAGATATATGCACTTCTATGTTTACTGCAGCATTACTTGCAATAGTCAAATTATGGAAGAAGCCCAAGTGTCCATCCATAGGTAAGTGAGTAAAGAAAATGTGGTATGCATATGTAAGTATGTACATACATACATATATATACATACATACACCCACATAATAGAATATTATTCGGCCAAAATAAACAATGAAATTTTGCTATTTGCAACAACATGGATGGATCTAGAGGGTATAATACTAAGCAAGTAAGTAGGAGAAAAACAAATACCATATGATTTCACTCACATGCAGAATTTGAGAAATAAAACAAAACAACAAAGAAAAAAAGAGAGACAAATCAAAAAACAGACTCAACTACAGGGAACAAAGAGTTACCAGAGGGGAGGGTGGCAGGGGAATGAAACAGGTGAAAGGGATTAAGGATACACTTATCTGGATGAGCACTGAGTAACATATGGAATTGCTGAATTGCTACACTGTACACCTGAAACGAATACAATGCTGTATGTTAACTACACTGGAATAAAATAAAATAAGAATTAAAGTTGTTACTTGTATGTAATCAAATTTTCCATAGCTTCTACTCATATTAATCCAACCTATCCTTGTGGGGCCACAGAAGACTGTTCATTTCACATGCATGGAAAATAAAATGCATTTGCCCAGAGATATGTTCTCCACATAAAAATATCTTTAAATTTTTTTTTTCAACGTTCATTTATTTATTTGGGACAGAGAGAGACAGAGCATGAACGGGGGAGGGGCAGAGAGAGAGGGAGACACAGAATCGGAAACAGGCTCCAGGCTCTGAGCCATCAGCCCAGAGCCTGACGCGGGGCTCGAACTCACGGACCACAAGATCGTGACCTGACTGAAGTCGGACGCTTAACCGACTGCGCCACCCAGGCGCCCCACATAAAAATATCTTTAAATTAAAAAGAAGAGAAATTTTGATGGGAAAGGGTGGGGAATGAGAAGACCAGCAAGAAGAGAGTAAAAGCAAAGATACAAAAGGTACTCGGGTGACTTTTTCCCTCCAGTAGGTAGAAAGTAGAATAGAAAACAATACTTAATGATTCAAAATCTAAATATCAATAAAGAGATGAATACCTTGAGAAATGTGACATTGGTACCTTGGTGTAGTAGTTCATTGGTATGGGGTAAATAGTTCCAGTTCTGTAGAAGTTCAGATTACACTTAGCTTCCTGCACCTCCCACCTGTAGTGAGTTAGCTGTGCCCACTGTGTGACTTAATCTGGCTAATAAATGTAAGCAAAAGCTCATGTTTCTTTCAGGCAACAATTTAATAGCCAGTGTGTGATAGGGCAGGATTTATTTTCTTCTGTCACAGTCATTAAAAATGCTCAATTTGTGGCTGTTCCTCAGCATGAGTCCCAGGATGAGCACAACAGAGAACCCTCACTGATTTGCAACTAGCATGTGACTTAGGAGGAAATCAACCTTATTGCCTTAAGCTACTGAGATTTGAGGGGTCATCACTACAGCAGAATCTAGTTTATCTTCACTATTATACAAACTAGAATGAGGTGCTACCTTAACAAGAACCCCAAAACATTGGCTTAGAGGCCAAGAAGCAAGGACCGTTCAGGATCTAATCAAGGAAACTTTCATCAGAGACTGGAGCTTGGCAATCCACAGTAAGGAGTGACAAAACATTTGCTGAAACGGTCACTATAATAATTTGGAGGTGACACATACTTAATGAATTTATAATGAGCATGTACCCAGGCTTGTGTGGCTAATGAACCTCTTTATGGCCCTAAGAGAGGAGGCTGGTAGTCAGAAGATGAACACTGTGTGATAATTGCTGTTGGTTATGTTTAATAAGACATTCAAAGAAAGGTAGTCAAAGAACCACTGCCATCCAAGAGACTAGCTGGTTAATACTTACACAGTCCTTTAGCCCCCACCCTTCTACTGTCAGAGAGCAAGCTGACAAGCTGCTCAGCCATGGAAAGGGGCCATACTATCCAAAGCCAACTTCAGATGTGGCCAAAGATAATAAAGACGGAAAGACCTCTTGCAGAGTAAAGCCAAGGACCATGGAGAACTATGCCCCAGGGCATATGCCAGAATATGAACTATTCGATACTGGTCTACAATAATGAGATAAAGAAATTGAGAACAAATGTCAAAAAGTTTTTATAGTCCTTTTTACACAGTTTTGTGTTTTATGAATCTAAAAAATTTTTAACAGGCTTGTCATGTGCTAGGTGTTTTCATTTTATTTTTCTTATAATTCATTTTTACTGTCTTTAACAAAAATTCAAAGTAAATTGGAATTTTAAAAAACTGGTCATTCTTAGCAGATAGTTTGAGAAGCACTGACCTAGAGAAACCAGTGAACAGAACAAAAGCCCTAACAATATCTGCCCAGTGATATTTCAAAGTTGCTACAGTCTAAAGTCTGGTGTATGTCTTCCATTCTTCCCCTCTCCAAATTGGCACATGTATTATAGTTATTTGTCCCTACACTATCCTATGTATCCAAGTGGAGGTGGGAAACAGGTAATTTATAATGTCCTAAGACATTAACACTACTGGGCATTACTTAGAGATCCTGGACTGTTGAGCTTGGTACAGTGATTGAATGGGATTTGAGGGCTATATCCATTGGGAAGGGCCAAAGATGAATTACATGTAAGGAGAATATCTGGGGGCGCCTGGGTGGCGCAGTCGGTTAAGCGTCCGACTTCAGCCAGGTCACGATCTCGCGCTCCGTGAGTTCGAGCCCCGCATCA